AAGTCAACGGTCCAAGTTGACCCAACTCGCCGAGTTGTCCTTCAACTCGTGGAGAGTCGGGAAAAAGCGAGCCAACTTGCCGGGTTTACTTATAAACTCGTCGAGTTTACCGGTAACCCAACCCTTTAATTCATTAAGCCGGCATTAACGAATTAACGAGATTCACAACTCAGATCTCAACTGAAATGGCATCAAGAAGAGTAAAGTTTCCAACTTTACCCCTAAGAACCACCAAAATGGGTTCAAAACCAAAACCCTAGGCTTCAAAGGGTGAGGGCTTAATCATTAAGCACTTAATCATCAAAGACACAACCCCAAAATACAGATCTGATCCCATAAGGCTAGATGTCTACGTAAGAGGAGCTCAAGAGCTCAAAAAGGCTTAATAAGGGACTTACTGAATGCATGAAGCCCGTAAACCTATAAAGTTGGAACCTTTATGCTAGAAGGGTTCATGAAGATTCAGATCTGAAGGACTAAACACTTGAGACGTCCTATAACCCCATTATCCACCCAATCATGGCTACAAACATACAATATAACCCAAGAAGATATCTAAGCTAATACAAGGCAAGTTCTGAACTTTATACCTCAAATGAGTGCTAAACGATGATGATGTTTCGAATCTTCAAGCTCAAGCTTCACTAACTCTCCCTCGCCAACTTCCTATTCTTCTTTCCAAGGCTCCAAACTACAAAAAATGATCTTTACAAAGTTAAGAGCACAGAAGGATGATAACAGTTGGGTTTTAGGGTTTATGAGCCAATGAGGCTGATAAGGAGGCTGGGTCATGGGACATAATAACATATTTATAAAAATAAGTGTTTATTAAGTACATAAATATATACAAATCCATTTTATAAAAAAGTATATATATAAACACATATTTTACAAAAAAAAATGTATACAAACATCTATTTTATTATAAATATATTTTTTAAAAACATATTTATATGCATCCAAATAATTGTTTGTATACATTTCTTTTGTAAATGTATATTTATATATTTTTTATAAACATCTATTTTATAATAAACACATTTGTATTCAAACACGTTTATATATAAAATGTATACAAAAATAAATTTAATAAAAATATATTCAAACACGTTTTTATAAACAAATGTATACAAACATGTTTTTATAGAAAATTATATATACATACAAACATGTCTTTGATAAAAAGCATCATTTAAGAAGTAAATTATCGACAATTAAATTATTCGTTTAAATGTATACTCAAAATAATAGTGATATAAGAATTAATACCATAAAATAATAACTCATATTCAAAACTCAAAAAGAACTTTGATCACATATAAAAAATGTGCATCTACAAATTAAAAAACAAAATTTATTGTCATACGTGGTTTCCGAAGGTGGGAGGAGTAGTGACAAAGGAAAGTTGTGAAAACCAGATCTAGAGAAATTGGAGAGGCAACAAATCAGTGATTTCGACGTCGTTCCGGTGATTTCGACGGTGTATACAAATATGCGTTTGTATACAAATGTATTTATAATAAAATAGGTTGTTTGTATATATATATATATATATATATATATATATATATATATATATATATATATATATATATATATATATATATATATATATATATTCTTTTGTAAAATATGTGTTTGTATATATATTTTTTATAAAAACGGATTTGTATATATTTATATACTTAATAAACACCTATTTTATTAATAGGTATTTCATATACGAAAAAGTTTTTATATAGAAAATATATGATTTTTTATGTGAAAATATATATATATATATATTTTTATACATATAATTATTTTAAAGAAAAAACATATTCGCTTTTTTTAGTAAGAATTTGTAAAAAAAAAAAAAAAAAAAAAAAAAAAAAAACTAAATTTATGATTCATTCAGAACAAAATTCTAAAATCTAGGCCAAAAGGGTAAATTTTGGACCAAATTTGTAATAAAATTTAAAATCTGGGCCAAAAAATAAAATTTGGACCAAATTTGTAATAAAATGTAAAACCTGTGCCAAAAGTGTAATTTTTGAAAGTTAGATGACATGTCGACCAGGTGAAGGGTTAAATTGAATACAATTACCGATTTTTGGGACTTAATTGAATAAAAAAATATAGATAATGACTAAATCGATTATGAGGCCAATATGTAAGGACTTTTTTTGCAGATTTCCCTTTTTATAATCATTAAGAATTTCCAAATAAGTAGACTAAAATAACTTATAATAATAATAGTAAAAAGTAATATTCTATAAACATTTATAATGTTATCTTTGAAAACAAAAACATTTTTGGTTGTTTTAAATAGTTACAATAAAAAAACTAACAATATTCATTAAATAAATTAAAAAAAAAAGCTAAATTTATGAAACCAAATTATAATAATTAATAGTTTCAAATACGTTATTTTAAATAAATTACTATAAAAATAGTTAAAAGTAACATTATATACAAAAATTATATTGTCACATTTAAAAAAGAAAAACAATGTTTGATGTTTTAAATAATTACAATGGTAGAAATCAAAATCTTAAACAAATAAACTATTTAAAGTTAATAAATCATAACATCAACTAAAATATCATTAAACCATATATTATATTTAATTTTATTCATAATTAACTCGTAGGTAGTGGTCATTGAGACAATTATGATTATAGAATTTTAAAAGATGTTTATATTATAATATAAATCAAAACAAACAATGTTTATATCAATTTATTATAAGATTTATTATATAAGAGATAACAACTATGTCCTTGATTTATTTAAAAAACACATATTTGTAAAGATTTCAAATATATTGTTATGTTTTGCACAACGCGCATATATTCTCCTAGTAAATATAATAAAAGTAAGTCAGAGACAATTCACCAAAGCTCATAATAACTGTTATGATGAACCATACCATTTAAAAAATGATCGATATAACAAATATAAATTTGCATTTATATATATGATCGAGAATCATGCTATACCTTGCTATTTCATTTAATATTTCTTGAAAAAAAAAAGTGAAACAAAAAATATATAAATTTTTAATAATATTTAATTAATCCATAAAATACATTAACTAAAACATGTATATATGTAAATCTAGAACATAAAGTCGACCAAAGATAATCTAAAAAACCGAAAAAGAAAAAATAATAATAATGTGGGTTGAACTGTTTTGTGTGATGGCCGGAACCGCAGCTAGGAACACTACATCCTGGGTGCAGTTTAAACAAGTATGGTTCCTCTTTGACGAAGCCGAGAACAATCATCTTGTAGAAAACTATTTGGCGGATGACATCGTGTATGTTAAAAAATTTCGGCGACAGTTCCGAATGAGGAAATAATATTGTTATGTTTTGTTGGTGACTTGGATGGTTGATTTCCATATTTTCAGTTGAAGTGAGATGCGATAGGCAGCCGATATTTTTATCCAATTAAAAAATGCACAACTGTAAATCATCAGTTAGCATATGGCATGGGAGCAAACAAATGGGATGTGTATTTGAGGATGTTTGAGTGTACCACATAGGAAAGTGTGTATAAGTTTGCTAAAGCTATTATTTTGGTTTACGAAAAACATTATTTGTGTAAATCAATGATCAATGATATCCACTAACTCTATAAGGTGCATTAAAACAAAAATGGGTTCGCAAGAATGCTAGGTGGCATCGATTGCATGCATCAATGTGACCTAAGGTATGGCGTGGTCAATACATGTGATGTGATCATAAAAAGTCGTCGATTATTCTAGAAGCGATCGTGTCCCATAATATTTTGATATAACATGCATTCTTTGGTCTAAACGGTGCAAATAACGACACTAATTTTATTACAAATCACCGGTATTCAATGACGTCTAACTTGAATAGTCGCACGAGGAACCATTTCAATCAAATATATTAATATATAAGCGTGGACACTATCTTACTGATGAGATATATCCTAACTTATATAGTTTAGAGAAGTTGTTCACATATCCGAACGAAAGAAAAGGAATAAAGTTTAAGCACACACAAGAATCAACTATGAAGGACATGGATCAAACATTTTGTGTACTTAAAAGGCACTGACAAGTACTACAAGCCAGGGTAGCGTCATATGAAGTCGCAAGGTTGCAAAACATAATGTTTGCTTGGATCATATTATATAATATGATTTTAGAAGATGAGGGGAAAACGATGTGTCGATACGATGAAAACAAAGTTTTTCCAACCATTGAAGGAGTAGTTGTTGGTACGCCATAGTATATGGCAAACAGAAGAGAAGTGCAAGGCATTCATCACTCCTTTCATATTTGGTGAAACATGTTTATAGCGCTAAGACACAGCCCGAGGTCGAGGACTTAGAGGGTGATTTATTTGACGAGCGGTTGATGTTTCACATACATTTATCGAGGATTCGATAGAGGATGTCGATGACAATTTGGTGTAACTTTTAATTATGTTTTTCTTGGTTTTATTATGTAATTTTTATTTTTAAGTAATGAAATATTTTTATTTTTATTAATTTTTGTGTTTATTAATTATTTTTTATTTAATTATACTTATTTTCTAAAGTTGTAGTTTTTAAAATTAAAATAGTTTTATTGTGAAAGAAAAAAATGAAAGGAACTGAGATGTGATCATCTTCTAAGTTATTAAAAAGTGAAAAAAAAAATGAAGGAAAATAAGATGGTGCTAACTAAAAAGTGTAAGATGGATACACTGTGGAATGGGGAGAGTCATAATTAAAGTGAGATAATGTGAGGGAGAAATAGACGAATAGTCCACTCATAAAGTATTGTGCACGCTGTACAGTCCACGACCAAGTCGTAAAACAGGTTCGAACAGGACTTGACAATGTCAAAACACTCTACTTGTAGATCACAATCATGTCTAAGTAAAAAAAGTCCAACTGATTTTCTTGGAAATTGCTGAGGTGACGATGTTACCTACTTTTCATTCATTATAATTACGAAAAACAGCAAGGTTTTGCAAACCTTCTACCAAGTTTCGACAATCATGGTCATCTTAACATACTTCCTTCTTCTCTTCATCCCTCAAGCAACATCAATTACTTTCAATTTCACAAATATTGGTCCACAACACCTGTCCAATGACATAAACATAATGGGTGATGGATATATCTCCGATGAAGGAATCCAAGTTACTGCAGATGGGAATGGAACAACAAAGTTCTACAGAGAAGGACGGGCTACATACATCCAACCACTTCACCTTTGGGATATCGCCTCCGGTGGGCTAGCAAGCTTCACCACCTATTTCTCCTTCGTGATAGATTCAGACTCGAATGCATATTATGGCGATGGGCTCACATTCTTTCTCGCTGAGAACAATTCAGTCATATCAGCTGGTTCGTCCATGGGGCTTCCCATCAATGGCTTAGAAGATACGAAGAGCCCATTTGTTGCAGTGGAGTTTGATACATTTGCAAACCCGGAGTGGGATCCAAGAAACTCTAGCAATGATTTGATAGGTGATCATGTAGGTATCAGCATTAACTCTCTTAAGTCTGTTGCTTCTCAGAAATGGTTAAGCAATATAGTTGGTGGGGGAGTCTGTCAAGCATGGATTACATATGATTCTCTTTCTAAAAATCTTAGTGTTTCCTTCACTGGTTTTCAAAGTAATAAAATTGTACGTCAATCGTTTTATTACATAGTCGATCTGAAGGCCGTTTTGCCTGAATGGGTTATATTCGGGTTTTCAGCTGCAACTGGAAATGCGTTCCAGAAAAATACTGTAAAGTCTTGGGTTTTCAATAGTTCTGATCTACAGATGGATGCAAATAATGTCATGCCACCTATAAGTGGCCTAAATCCTGTAAAAGGGAAGAATAGAACAGTACTGGTAGTGAGCTTAGTAGTTGGTTTATCTGTTTTGATTACTTTTCTGGCTCTACTTGCCTTCTACGCATGGAGGAAGAAGAAAAGCAGGGAAGAGGAACAAGGATTTGATGTTGGAATGACTAATGAATTCGAAATGAACACCGGACCCAAAAAATACTCATACCGAGAATTAGCTCGATCAACTAATAATTTTGCAGAGGATCAGAAACTTGGTGAAGGAGGCTTCGGTGGGGTTTACAGAGGTTTCTTGAAAAAATCGGGTACGCATGTTGCAGTCAAAAGGGTGTCGAAAGGTTCCAAACAAGGTATCAAAGAGTATGCCTCCGAAGTCAAGATCATCAGCAGATTAAGACATAGGAATCTAGTTCAACTCACAGGTTGGTGTCATGAGAAAGGCGAATTATTGCTTGTTTACGAGTTCATGGAGAATGGAAGCTTAGATTTACATCTTTTCAAGGAAAAAACCTTGTTGAAATGGGGCACAAGGTACAAAATCGCCCATGGGCTAGCTTCTGCATTGCTGTATCTACATGAAGAATGGGAGCAATGTGTTCTGCATAGAGATATCAAAGCCAGCAATGTGATGTTGGACACAAATTTTAATGCGAAGCTTGGAGATTTTGGGTTAGCTAAGTTGGTTGATCATGAGAAAGGTTCACAAACAACCATGTTGGCTGGAACCTTGGGTTACATGGCGCCTGAATGTGTAGTAACTGGTAAGGCAACAAGAGAATCAGATGTGTTTAGCTTTGGAGTTGTTGCTTTAGAAATAGCTTGTGGGAGAAAACCCATCATGTACATGGCTCAAGAAAACCAAATACAGTTAGTAGAATGGGTTTGGGAGATCTATGGAGCTGGGACACTACAAGAGGCAGTGGATCCGCGGCTAGGATCAGAGTACGAGGAAGAAGAGATCAAACGTTTGATGATCGTTGGGTTATGGTGTGCACAACCAGACCCAGACCTTCGCCCATCAATGAGACATGTTATTCAGGTACTGAACTCCGAAGTTTCCCTTCCCATACTCCCCTCAAAGATGCCGGTAGCCTCTTACTTGTCTTAATTAGTCCAAGGCCCACCATCGAGTAGGCATCTAACGCGGCTTCCTGAAGTAAAAAAAAAAAAAAAAAGACTTACAGTTGTGTCGTTGTTGCATTCAATGGAATTAGAGGTATTAATTTATTTATCTAATAATCATTTCCATTGTTCATGTTTGTTTTATTTCGTTTATGTAAGAGTTATTTGACAAACATACACGGGTTTGCAGCATATGAGGTCCACTTTTATCGAATTTCACTAATCGTTGACCGGGATTCTCTTATGTCTTGCTAGAGCTTTTATTTTAGTGCGGTTTGTGTTGAAAGACGAAGTGTCATGGAAAAAAAAAGAAAAAAAAAACATTCTGAAGTTATTTGATTTGCATAGATAAATTTACTTTCTAGAAATTAGTCAAAAGCCAAATACAAAACATTCTGAAGTTTGCATAAGTATGTTTAATTAAGCTGAATTAACCAACAAAAATTTAAAAATAGAATATCATATAGAAATCCACGAAAGAAAATCACTAATAATCTTGAATAAAACATAGATTTTTTTCACAACCTTTTTGTTTTTAAAGAAAATATTTTTCCAAAGCATCAAATGATCTAAAAAGTCGTTAGAATTGCCGTTCATACCATCTTTGATAGTGTATATTATTATTGTATATTATTCAGGTAACTATTTTGTAAGTATCCGCCCATGAGTTTAGCCGGATCCTCATCGTAATATTCTTATTTATTTATAGTTGATTAATGACAGGGAATATTGTTGGAATTTCTATAGGCATATATGGTGAGTATGAATTTCCTTATTTTATGTTCCTTTGTATATTAGGAGTCGTCGATCTAATGAATATTGTGGTATTTTTCCCATAGAACGTATATTCCTTAATGTGCAAGAATATTTACAGAATACAAGGAATAGTCCATAATACAAATGGGCCTCAATAGCTAAAAAGGCTATCTAAATACAGACAATACAATAATCTAAATATATATCCCGTTAACATCCACCCACAGTGAGAACGGGAGGAGAATCATGAACATTCATGCTGACCAAAAATCAAGGAACAATGGAGAAAGTAGACTCTTCGTGAAGATGTCGACATACTGAGAAGATGATAGAACATGAAGAGCTCGTACTTGCCCTGTGGCCACTTTGTCCCGGACAAAGTGAATATCTATCTCAATATGTTTGGTCCGCTGGTGAGTAATAAAAAATAGTTGCCCTATATGGTGAGTAATAAAGCTCGAGAAGTAAATTACGAATCCAACATGTTTCAGCAACAGTATTACCCACACCTTGATACTCTGCTTCGACAATAGACTGAGAAATCGTATTCTGTCGCTTGGAAGACCAAGACAACAGATTGTTTCCAAAGAAAACACAATAGCCTGATGTGGATATGTGAGTAACGGGACAACCAGCTTAGTCAACATCAAAGTACACAATGAGATCACGATTCGAAGAACAGAAGAGCTGAAGTCCATGATGTGTGGTGGCTCGAATTTAGCGTAAAATGCGCTTGAGATCCGTGAAATGAGGATCTCTGGGATCATGCATATATAGACCCACTTGCTGAACAACATATGTAATATCCGGTAGGTAAACGTGGGATACTGAAATGCACCGGCAGAGCTATGATAGAGAGTAGGATAATCAGTAATGTCTAAGTTTAACAACTTACTATGTAATAGAAAAAAAAAGGAATAGGAATGTCTAAAAACAAACATCTTACTATGCAGTAGAATGTTAGGATTTAATTAATTATGTGGGCTATTTGGGCAAAATTGTTAGTATGCCCTTTATTTTGTAAACACTATAATGATTAAGTTTAACAACTTTTGAAAAATTATGCAATTTTTGGTGATATAGGTTGTGTTATGGTCATCATCTTAGGTAAAAAATAATGAATATTTTAGTCATTCTATTAGGTAAAGAAACATATATTTATGCATCCATATTTTTATAATTATCTAATGTAAAAAATAATCCAAATTACATTCGCAAAAATATACAAATTACATCAAATTTTCATATTACTAAAACAAATTATATTCATTCGCAAAAAAAAAAAAAAAAAAAAAAAAAAAAAAAAAAAAAAAAAAAAAAAAAAAAAACAAAAAACAAAAAAAAAAAAAATACAAATCTTATTAGTTATGTGGGCTATTTGGGCAAAATTGTTAGTATGCCCTTTATTTTGTAAACACTATAATGACTAAGTTTAACAACTTTTGGAAAATTATACAAGTTTTGGTGATATACATTGTGTTATGGTCATCATCTTAGGTAAAAAAACATTCATTTATTAATAAATATTTTAGTCATTATATTAAGTAAAAAAACATATATTTATGCATCCATATTTTTATAATTATTTAACCTACAAAATAATCCAGATTACATTCGCAAAAATATACAAATTACATCAAATTTTCATATTATTAAAACAAATTATACTCATTCGCAAAAAAAAAAAAAAAAAACAAAAAACAAAAGCAAATCTTCCAATGTGCACATTTCACATTTTAGGTATATATATGCATATTTTTACAAATGCATATATGTATATTTCATATACACAATAGGAATCAGTATTTTTTTCGAGGAATCAGTATTTTATTCGATACAAAGTAAAATATAAAAAACAAAAAAAATGCTACAAAATTTCAAAGGGTTTTCATGTCTTCACGTAGATATTTCCATATTTTCTTCAATTTATCATTTTTCACCTCTTCAATATTCACCACAATTTCTTCCAAATCTACAAGAAAAAAAAATTGATTGATGCAAAAATACTCACAAAAATTCATGTGATTTACATGTGAATCACATGTAATTCATATGTGATTTACTCATGACTAACATGTGATTCATAGGTGAATTACATTTGATTTACATGTGAATCACATGTAATTCATGTGTAATACATTTGTAATTCACATGTAATTCATTTAAAAGCTCCAACGACTAAAAAAAGTCAAAGTAATGATTATAGTTTTGACCATAAAAGCATCACTAACACAACAACAATCCAAAAATATATTAAAATTTCATATTGTTAATGATCTCTTGCAAAGCCTCCCTATCCTCATCATCACGGTCGGTCCGTTGATTTCGCAGGCCCTGTACGAAAAGTAAAAATGGGCCCTTAATATAATTTTATTATATGTATGTAAACAAAATTTATTAATACTACTAGGGTGTCCTAATAAATTAATATGGATGAAAGTGAACTAGGAAAATGTGAAAAGTAAAATGGGCCTCAATATAATTTTTTTATATGTATATATATAAATTTATTAATATTAATCAATTAAAATGGATGAGAGTGAACTAAGGAAAAATAAATAAATAAATAAATGATCAATTAAGCTGAGTGAGGAATAATTAAAAAGAAAAAAAGCTGGTTAATTAAAAAAACAATTACGTAGAAACGAGGAATAAAAAAATGACAAATAAAGAAAAATGGGAATGAAGAATAAAATGTTTATTAATAGTAAACATTTTGAAGATGGGATAAGAAGAAAAAAGGGACAGATCAATAAAAAACACGTTGAATGTTAGGTAATAAGAATTGAACCTTAGACATTAGTTAAAAAGGTAAAATTTATTTATTACTAAAACATCAATTAATATAAAAAGAATGAACGGCGCACAAAGCAGGAATCGAACCAGACTCATTTAAAAAGCAGGAATCGAACCAGACTCATTTAAAAGGAATAAGTATATGCAACGCTCCTAACCGGCTGAACAAGATACGTTTATTGAAATAGTTTGCATAAATAGATATATGTTAACATATTTACTATATAATTTGGTTATACTCGGGTCTTATTTTTTACGGGCCCTGTGCGGTTGCACACCTGGCACACCCTCAGGGTCGGCCTTGCTCATCATTCCCACACATCTCTCCATCAACCTCAAAACTTGTTCCCTTTGTTATGTAACATTTTTATAATTACAAATCATTTATTTGCTTTCCACCTCATCAAACGTAACATTTTTCATCTATAATAATAACTCGTTTACTCAGAAGAAAGTTTTTTACACGAAATGTCAATGGAAATACATTTTGTTTTGTTGAACGAAATTCAACAGTAAAACAAGTGAGAGGGATTGACATTGTAAAGCATTAATCAATATTTGTTATATATATATAAATAAAATAAAATTGGAAGTAGTTTATAATCAGGTTTTGATGAAAAAGGAGGAAGGATTTAACCAAGAACTCAATGTCATCCACCCATGACAATAAAGATAATTCAATGTTATACATCAAGTTCTCCTTTGACGTTTTCATATTCCTGAACAAAAATTCATATATTTTGTTAACATGAAAAAAGTAGAGTTGTTTACTTCTACCATGAAAATTTACAAACTCACAAATTGAAGCAAAGAACACAACTTCTGCCAAACTACAAACCAACTAACCAAGAATAGAAAAAGCACAAAGGCAATAACAACTAACCTAAATTGAAAGTTGAAAGTATAATGTTATTTCTTTTGTTTATCCACTGTCTAAAAAAAATAGTAGTTGATGTTATTACCAAGATGAAAAAAAATTCAAATATAGCATTACATTATCTTCGGTGATGCAATTTGCATTGCATATGTTGACCAATTGTAACTTGAGTTAGAGGGATTGACATTGTAATTGGATAAAGCATACTATAATAATCAACATACAAAAAGCATATACAATTTATAAATCATTTAAATATATTAAATTAAAGTAAATAACATCGTATAAAATTTTACACAGGAATATGCTTCGATAGAGATCAATTACAAAATAAAATGAAAAAACAGAACCTGTATTGTGCGAATATCGGTACATTGAAACGAGTTTCATTGTCAACTGTAACATTCGGATTTCCAGCTATCATAATTTAAATATTTGTTTTTGAGATGAAAAGAGGGACTCGACGAGTTGACGCCTAAACTCGTCGAGTAGGATCGCGACTGATGACTCGGATTAATGAATGGACTCGACGAGTCTGCGCTGTTGGCAGAAACCCT